ACCTGCAAAATTGCACTTCATGTTGTTGGTTTGGATCATCCTCAAATTCAAGTAGAGCATGTGTGAAGGAAACAAATACAGGAATGTCACGTGAATTAACATCATTTTCTGATTTCCTATTATAGAAGCACATGAATATATATATATATATTTTTTTAATACTTGTTGCAATTTTGGACATACTGATAGGTTGGGGTGAGAATGCTGTTATTCCAGGACATGCTCATGTGGCAAAAAAACAAGGTCTTCCATTTAGCAAAATAAACACTAAAAGATTGGGGTTTTTTTTCCGTGTATGTGTGCATGTGTGTACGTGTGTGAGAGAGACAGGAAAATCTTACAGGCAGTGGATTGCTTATGTCAGCAAATAGGGAGAACTTGCTTGGACACAGCTAGTAAAAAGCATGTGCCAGCTATTAAATAAATGGTATGTCCATTGTAATGCTTGGATAATAATAATAAAAAGTAGTCTTTACACCTGGTAAACAATTGACAAGTTGACTAATATGAGCTTTGGGTTGGCAAACAGTAAGGGTTTAGGCAATAGGCTTAAACAGCAACTCTGGGTATTTGTGAAGCCCCATAGTTCACTTCTATAGCTACAAGATTTCCTTAACTCTCCTCCGTCCCTTAACCACAAGTGCTTTTTAACCAAGCTTTTGGCACTATGAACTACTAAATATGTGCTATAATCATCTTCCTTAGCTGATAAGCAGTATTATCAGCTTACAGGGATTCCTGTATGGAAGTGTTATGTCTTAGTTGGTTTCAGCAGCCCCAATACTCTTGCACAGATTTATGGCACTTTCTAATGAGTTGATATGCTTGCTCTGAGATGAAACAAATTCCCACTGAAATCTTTGAGCAGAGCCTCAGTCAAGAAGAGGAAGATTTATTGGGTTTCAGCCTGAGTGCACACATGTGCACACGGGCAGCCGAAATGGGTCACAGCCAGCGAAATGCCCTCCGGCTCTGGGCGTGCTGCGAACCCACCCACGTGGGACTGGGGACCAGGCTGCTGCTCCTGCTGCTGCTGCACCTTCGTCAGGAGGGGAAAATCACGTCCACCCAGTAGTGTCAATAATGCAGTCCTGCCTCACACAAAGCTGATAGTTGTTTGTAATTGCAGAGCACCCCGATATAAAAGTGACAGTGTATGTAATGTCACAGTTAGCTTCAAAGCTAAAGAAGTGCAAGCAGCTATTGCTGGTTGTGTGCAAGCAGGCTTGGCAACACGTGTGCTTCATACAGCATGCTGTAGCACCGCGTCTGCTGCCTGTGTCCAGCCAAACGAGGCTAGGGATGCTCCGCAGCAGGCTCAGCCATGAAATGAATTACGTGCATTTGCAGCTGCAAACCTTTTCTGCATCTTGCACGTCATTGCTTTCCCTCTTTTGTCCCGATGTTAGCTGAAGCATGTTGGGTTTTTTTTCTCCCGTCTTAGCTGTCCCTCCCCCTGATTTCTCCAGCCCCGTCACTGCAGCAGAGCAGGCATCACTGCCCACGAAACGCTGGGGCTCACGCAGCCCCACGGGGCAGTCAGAGGGGGTGCTGGGCTCCTAAATCATACCCTGGGCTAGGCTGGGTGGCACTTGTCGGGCTGAGGTGCTGGGCAGGGGCTGTGCGGCAGACGACCGGCACCTGCCACCCTCGGCCATGAAGGTTTGCCACTGCGACAGGCAGCGGGGAGCGCGGCAGACGTGTGGCCTCGGCGGGGAAGTGTGAGGGAGCTTCCCACCCCCTCCAAATGCTGAACTGGCTAGTAGGGCCTCAGTTTTTCCGTCTATTTGCCGAGAAGGTAGAGGAAAGACTATGAAGTTTATTGATAAATGGCAGCATATTAACCACAGCAACCAAAATTAGAGAGGACCAATCTTCCTCTCTGACCAGAGGAAACCCACTGAATGGTTAATAGCCTTGTTCTTAAAATAAGGAGGATATTTAGCATAAACATGCATAAGAAAAATGTTCTTAAGAGCCAGTCAGAAATATCAGATTTTATTGATGGGATGTTAGCGGTCATAAATGACCAGGAAATCAGTGATGCTGGCCAGCAGGCTGCATACCTTGCCTTTTAGAGCTGCAGTGCTTGCGGTAGCAGCTGTTGACAGACGCTGTGCCAATCCATTAGCACTGATGGGTGCGAAGCTTGTGAGGGGCGCCGGGCAGCCCACGATGTGTTACCTGTAGGACCAGGGTTTGGATTTACCTGTCGCAGCCCTAGCTTAGTGAAGGCAAGTCAGGGCACACGTATGCCGTTTTGCCTTCCCTGGCTCCTTCCAGCGCATCGAAGGGATGAGGCAGCATGCAACTGCTCCTCTGCCTCGCTCACGCGCACGTTTTTGATGTTCCAGTTCATTTAGGTGTTTAATAAGACCATCCCCAAGCGCCATCCTTCTGGCTCACAGCCAGGCTTAAAACCCAGCAGTCTCCTCATGTGCAACCAACTCCAGTGTTAGTGATGAGGAGAAAGCTATCCTCCCTCTTGCTTAATTGAATTAAAGAGGAGTCATCTTGGCACTGGTGGCTGCTGTGCTTTGTGGATTGTGTAATCTTCAGAGGAGACTTCAGTACAGCAAGGCACACACTGATTCACGTATGTAGGAGTGACTCCAGAGTAACTCAGGTCCGGGAGAGTAGATGTGGGCTGCGTATTTATTTCCTCAAGTGAATGAAATGAGGAAATTCCTACTTCCCCCTCACTGTATTATCAAAATCATGTACAAACATATGCTGGGTTTGCCTTTTTTTTTTTTTTTATTATTTTTCATTACGTTATTTCTACCACTGAAAGGTAGCTCAAAGACAGCATTGTGACACAACTGAGTGGAGTCTGGGTATTAAAACCTACGCGTGTTTCTTAGACGTGAGAGGGGATGCGTACGATCAGCCTCTCTGATGGAAACATACGCTTCCTGAAGCCCTAAAGGAGAGCGGTTTGCTAGCATTACACCTGAGGGCAAGGAGAGCATCAAGTGCTGGATTGATCAGAGAAGATCAATCTGATCTGAGGCTCCCTTCTGCAATGAGACAGAAAGCACGGGGCCGCCCATCTCCGAAAAGCTCAGGGAGCATAAAAACCAGAGGTTCGCAACTTCAACAGGGGAGAAAAACCCAAACCAGGGAGAGCCGCTTTTCCTCTTCCAGCCAAATCCCGAGTGCTGCCACCAGCATCCCGCCCGCCGCAGAGGCGGCCGAGGCACCCAGATGGGGCCAACAAGGGGACGTGGCCATCAGCAACCCGGGGTGCTGCGCGCGCACCTGAGGCGAGGGTTGCCCGAGAGGAGATGGCCCTGGGGGACTGCGGAACCGCGGGAAAGAATATTGCACCTTTTATAACATAATTGCGTGCTTTATTGATATACACAGTAAAGCAGTATATAATACAATAGTAAGGCATATATTTGGTGAAGTTTGATATGTTGTGAAAAAATGCAGTAAAACAGAAGTTTATAAAAATAATTAGTAAATGTTACAGTGTTGGTGTTAAAACACAATATATTATGATATCCAAGTAATAAACCAGTACTGAGTAACAATGAAATAACATGCCATATGGTATTTATGTATTCAATTACACTGATTATGTTTTACAGTTTAATACTTTGTCATTATAAGGAATATGAAATAATTCCCAAATTATGCTTAAAAAAGCAGCGATAAAGCTTTCAACTTTTTAAATATTTTTTGACAGACTCACTCCAAAACTAAGATCTAGAAAGTAAAACAAACAAAACAAAACCCTGATGAAAACAACCGTGCAACCCATTTTTCCTCCTTTTTTTTTTCTGAAGAGGTTTAACGTGTAAGGGGGAAAAAAAAGAGGAAACCCTTTTCTTTCTCAGATCTCAATTTAAACCTTCTGATAAAAAAGACCGTGAGAAATACCGAGGGTTCCCATTGTAATAAAGTGTTAAAAAAGCTTTTTATTAGGAAAGCATAGGTTTGGGGGGATCTACTTATGTTTTGTAAATGATTATCATTGTTGGTATTATTTAAACGATGAGACCTGGTCACACAATGGACACGTGGTGATGATGTAACATTATCTGTACGGAATCGTCAGGAACACCACAAAACCAAAGTGAGGTAGAAATAGCATGACTAGCCATGTTCAATGTTAACTAGCATTCAAAATAAAATCTTTCCCAAGTTTAATTACACTTCATACAAGAAGAGGTAACAGATTTTTTACTCTTGCAATATAAAGTCAGATGGTGTGTTTCTACGTATTCTAAGGTAAAATTAAAAGCTGGTTAAGAAAATGAAGTGGTAAAGCTTTTGCTGACAGCACCTCATACCCAAACCTACCTCTCAGGAGCTACACTCAAGCTGGCTAATCTGTTTCGCTATCAGTTCCTCTCTTTCTCACTTTATTGTTAATTATGTGGGATTACTTGTAGAGAGAAATGGGGAAGGAGAAAGGACCAGGGCCTTTGTTTTGGTGATGAACATCTCATGGAGCAGTGTGGCTACCTTCACCTGATCACCATACGCGCGCAAGGACAGCAGTAACTCTTCTACAGCCTTTCCCAAAGATTGCTCGCAGCATTACAGCTCCTTGGGACCGGCTGCTGTAGCAGGCTGAGACACACATTGTGGAAAGCTCTGGTTTTATTTGCCAGAGGATCGAGGAGCTTTATGCTCATCAACAGCACTGGGAGCTGGAGAAGCCAAGATGCTCTGTGAGTAACCTACTTGTGTTTCGGGTCAGAAGCTGATCCCACAGGGGGTCAGGAGGCAACTTCTCCCTTTCTCCTCTCCTCTGCAGCAAAGGTGATGCGAGCAGCGGCAGCAGGTGGGGGAGAACTGTACCCAGCTCCTGTTGAAACTGTACCACGCCGGCTGAAGCACTGGCTGCTGGCCGTGGCCAGCGGGGCACCGGACACCGAGGTCCAAAGGTTTAGTCCGGTAAGGCAGTTTCTACGTTCCTTTACTAATAACATTCAGGAATTCAGTCAGCAGAGGAAACGCTGGCACATAGGATGGTCATTAAACTCTTTCCTTCTTTCTTCTGGGTTTTTTCTTTTGCTTTTTTTCATTAATTTTTTTGCAGGCTCTGTCATGTAATGTGCTCTTTCATTTAATTATTGCAAACTAGCTGTGTGATTAATGTAATTCTTAATTTTATTGGAAAGAGGTGAAATAACTACCTTCATTGGAAGTTCAGGATAGTTTATTTTTAAGCCAGCCCTAGTCAGACAAAACCAATGAGAAATGTAAGTTGGCCATTTTGGTGTCGCTGCAGGAAATACTTTTTTTTTTCTTTTTGACAGGCAAGGAAAAGAACACAGAACATGAATCTCTCTGATGCAGTTACAGAGCTGAAATGATACTAAACAAATGCACTGCCTCAGTATTTTTTTTGTGGTTTTTTTAAGGGGGTTTCTATAAACAATTATTTTTATAAAGCACACTTTAGTTTACAATCTTTCATTATAACTGTTATAAATTTTTTTAAACAACCCAAAATGCGTTCCATATAAAGAAATGGCAAGTTATTTAGCTATCAAGATTTTACATGTAGTTTTCTTATAATTTTTGTACAATTGCATAGACGTGTAAAACCTGCCATTGTTAACAAAACAGTAACAGACTTAGGAAACTACTGAAATCTACAGTATAGTACCACTACCCTTCACAAAAATATAGATTTGTTTTCTTGTAAACTCTTACAGTCTAATCCTCTTTGTAGTATGAATATTATAAAAACCATGCGGGACGCCTGAAGTTGTAAAACACATCTTGCTATTCTAACACCTTGTCGTCGGTCATCACTGTCACTAAGGTTTCCATCGCTCTTCCCAAGTCGTCTGCCATGTGGAAAAGGCTCCCTACATTGTGGCCTGAAAAAGAAAGTCAAAGAAGAGGAAATTAAAGGAGGAAGACAGGGCAGCAGAGTGGTAGGAACATTTTACAGAAACGGCCGAGCACAGAACCATCACTCTCCGTGTACCGCTCACCGCCATCCCCAGTGGAGTACACCGGGGAGTGCTCTTTCCAAAAGGCTCCTGGATGAGTCTAATACGCTGTTGTTAGCAAAAGTTTCCAGTTTTGCAGAACACTTAACAGCAATACTGGCTTGAATGGCTAGGGTGAACTAGGTTGACAATAAGCCAGCATGTTTTTTTTCCGAAACCTCCCCCCTCCCCGTAGCAGTGAAGCTGCATCAATTACGAATCTTCATCAAAAGCAACGATTAAATCCACTGACATCACAGAAAAGTTTCCAACTGGTGCTGCAAGTGTTTGACCATTCAATGTTCTATCAAGGAGAAAAACAGAAACACATAGATCAGCATTAATTAACTAAATCATTAAACCCAAGAGGTCCCAGCAGGATACCTGTGCAGGTAGCTAAAATGATGACCAAACTAAACGGCTGCAGTTTATTCAATAGTTTATAAAATATCCTTTGCTTTCCAGACAGCAGTCCAGCAGAAACAAAGATGCCACAATTATCGAGTACTACACAGTGGTTCATTTGTGCATTTCTCTCACCCGTAACCACTGTGAAGTCCTAAAATGCTATAACCACCACACGTGATCCTCCTACACAGAAGTGATAAACAAACACAGAGCACAATTCTGGAGATGAAACCTGTAACAACTTCTCACACTCATTTTACCACCGCTGCAAATGGAAAGGAAAGGTAGCAATGCTGATCAGCAGTAAGAAATGGCTTCATCACAATTAGAGCCTAAACAGACTTGAAGGCAGGAACATTAAATTGCCAAAAGTTGCCATTTTAGACCCTTGGCCTGGTCTCCAGCAGCTGTTCAGATGTGTGTGGGTCTCCTGCAAGTCCTGTGTCAGATTTGCAGCCCTCTATGACTGTCTCAAAAATCCTATGGCATCCCAAACGACAGACACATCACGGTTTAAACAGCTGAATCCCATCTGGAATCTCCCTCCTGAAAAAATATGACTGAAGAGGGAATACGACAGAGATCCAGGCACTCTACAAGATGAGCATCCAAACCAAGGACTGAGCATTCAAAATTTCTTGCAAGGACAAGGAGGAACGAGCAGACAGAAGGTCTTAAAACAAGCAGAAAGAAATTATACTCCACACAGCACATAATTGTATTACTGAACTCATCGCCACAGGCTGATGCTGAGGCCAAACACATAAATGAGTTAAAAAAGGAGTTAGAAAATAATCACTGAAGAAAGATTTATTTAGATGCAAAGAAGAGCATATGACCTCCAACTCAAGAAGTCCCCAAGCTGTAGAGTGCCAGCAATGGAAAGTATATAACAGGGGAAGTATTACTCAATAAGATTATATGTTGCTATAGCTTGAGGGGTTTGATTTACTCCCTGAGAGTACTGGCGATAGAATATTTGTCTGGAAAAACATGGGAGGTGCAACGCCATCTGCCCACACCTCTGCTTCCCAGGAATACTTTGTGTTAGCCTGGATGCCGAGTCCTTGCCATGGTCCTTGAGGAAGGAGCATCCACATGAAAAAAAGGACATGACCAGGGTATCCAGGAGAGATCTTTCATGCAGTCCCTACCTGTAATGTGCTGGAGCCTGGCTGTTACCATTACCCACAGACACGCTGGGTGTCCCTCCTGAAACAACTGTCTTCTCTAACAACAGGAATGAACCTTTTCCTGTGGTGCAAATCAAACTCACCATCCTCTTCCAAATGTTTAAATATTATGGTAGTCATGCACTGTTGACATTTCTACATTACACAGGAGCTTGCAGTGATTCATCAACATTTACAGAATAGAAAAAAATTACCTGAGAAATATCCAGAGAAGTTTGTTTCTTCTGGAGAACTACTACCACCTCTTACATTCAAATACTAGGTTTTTTAAGTTTTTGTTTGTTTGGTTTTTTTTAAATGTAGCAGTCATTACACAAACTACGCCGTATCTAAACGATAACTAGTCAACAAGCTGGATGTTTGATAGTGAGCTGTGCTGTGCGTGGCACAGTTTGCCAGATACCGATACAAAGAAATACTTGGTCCTAATCTGGTGACATTTTCCTAATTGCACTAATGCACATAGAAACAGATGCATCAAACAGCAATTTCATCCATAAATCACTCATGTATAGCCATCTTATTCATCCTAAGCAAAAACCTGTAATTTGCTCATCAGCACATCAAGTAACAGCACATGAAAAATTCCTGCCAAGTTTTGGTCAACACTCCTTACTTTAAAATAAATGTATGCTACCACATTTATTTTAGATGTAGGGGATAATCTCTCTTACTGGCACCATGCAGGCTGAGATCAATCCAGCAAATTACACCATGGAAAGTAAAAATCTGACAGTCATATGGAAACAGAACGTATTTTAGATGGGAGATGCTTATGTAAACAGAAAGGTAACTGCCACTGGTTTGCTCTACTTACCCAAAACTCTGACGTGGCTCAGGTGCATTTGTAGCGTGTGCTATCAAAGGCTTTATTGGAACAACCCTGGTATAACCAGAGTGACCTGCAGCATCCCCACAAACATCCTGACTCTGCAAACTACTTTCAAGAAATCTCTAGACTTTAAACACTCTTCTTTTTCCTCACCTGCAGCAACCTACAGACATGAGACAGGGAGGTGGTGAGAGTCGTAACTGGGTAGCCAGCCGTGAAAGGCACTGCTGCCTGTGGGATCATGGTCTCTCGTTCAGATTCATTGCGATCTGTTGTTTCTAGAAACAACGATGGGACCCGAGGGCTCTGCACAAACTCCAACACCACTCGTTCCCAGCTCAGGAAGAGTGATCACCTTCCCATGGACTTAGAGCAACCCAAATTGCTAAACCCCATCTTTAGAAAAAAATCAGTTTTTGTTAATACTATTTTGTTCTGCCAGGTACAGAGCTGTAAAGGTAACAAAGGCAAGCTGCTTTTATAGAAAGAGTCTAGGTCTAGCAAGAATAACTTCAATCAAAAATATAGAAAAAGTCTTTCACAAGTATGCCACAGTAGGTGCAAACTGTTAAATTGTTCAGGCAACTAAAACACGGGCCAAGATGACCTTATGCATCCAGGCATCCCTTGGTATTCTTTTAATGCATAAAAATTACAGGAATGTCTGCTGTTTTTTTTTTATTTTCTCTGTTAATTGCCACCATGTTTTTGAAATAACCATGCTTCGAATCCGATCTCCCTCCACAAAAGCTGCACAGAGGCATGCTGGGGTGATCAAGATACGACTCCCTCTCCCCCACACCATCCACGCCACCTCTCAGCACAGGTCTTAATTTCCTCTGCAGAAGAACTGAACAATCACGGGTCTCCTCCTGAGCCATCTGAGTTTACAGTTCACAGCATGACCATAAACCACTGCTGATTGCAGTTTATGTTAATAGCTGGACTGTAAAGTGCGACAGCTTGGGGACCGCAGTCTCCAGGACAGTGACGGGATGGGAGGACAGGCCAGAAGAATGGGCAATATAGCTGTGCTCCAGCCGCTCAACTGGTGAACCCTCAGCTGGCTGTCACTGCATCGCCAGCAGGCTTTTTGCCTCTCTTGCAGATGGGAGTAACAGCTAGGTCAATCAAGACTGCAAACAGTTAAGAACAACATATGCAATAATTTCCTGGTACTGTATGTGCAATGAACGCACCCTCTTCTATAATGCCTGTTACCTAAATAAGAGCTCAGATTCGCTGACTGTTTCTGTATAGCTCTGCTGCTTCTATTGAATACTGCTTACTTGCCCTCTCTAAGGCTGAAACACAGGACATTGACATTTTTAATTAAGAAGCAAATGAGAAAAATACTGTTCTAAAAGCACTTAGGAAAATATATCATAGCTTGCAACTCGTTATTATTCATATTTTAAAGTAATGCCACCAAAGAAGGCATTAATTCCATTCTTTCCTTTTTTTTTTTTAAAAAACATTAAAGCTGAAAAGGTTTTCTCCATGCTTGAGGCACTGCAAGGTTGAAAGATGCTACTGTGTAAGAAAAAACTAGCATACACTTTGAAATACAGCAATAAAGCTCAAAATGGACATGGACAGTATTAACTTAGACTTGTAAAATGGAGGGAGTATTAACACAGGTGCATTTGCTTTGAAAGCAGAAGACACCTATTTCTGCAGACACTAACTTCATCACTTCTGGTCACACACAGAATGATGCGTTTCACATCTGCTGAATTTGCTGTAGAGCTTCTACTGGAATTAAGGCCCTTGGGTGAGGGCGCAGTAACTGAATACCAATCTTACACTCCAGCTTGTCAGAGAAATAAATGTGGAGCATTCAGAC